ATTCAAAGGCCTCCCGAAGATTGGTCGGTTTCATAGATCTTATTGTAGCTCCTAATGGGCCCCTAATTCCTGTTAAAAATGAGTTGAGACATATGTCTGCAAACAGATTTTTTTTTGTCTTTACCACACACTGCTCCGATTTTGTGGTTTCCGCTATTCTAAATAATGCTAGTTTAATCTCACAGACTTTGTCATATAGTTGACGTAACGATAAACCCTCCTGCACAGAATTGTGGAGCTCGAACATTAGAGTGGGTTCATCTCTCTTGTCCGCGCAATGCAAAATTAGGGCGTCCTTAATTTCTTCCCAATTAAGACTGGCTCCAGATTCGATGATACCCTCGCTAGCCTTTCCTACGATTTTATTTCGAATCGATCTTAGAAGTAGCTGACCATATGGCGTTTTACTAGTGCCGCTAATTAGTGCTAATATTTCCTCCACATTGGTTACAAATTCATGTAAAGTTTTTGGATTACCATCGTACACAGGCAAAAAACGAATTGCGTCAGGTATCTTCAGTGTTGATAGGACATCAAGTGGATTAACATTTTGATCTCCTGGATCCGGAAGGACGTATTCTGATGAAGAAGGCGTAGATGAATGATCGTCTTGTCTTGTTACGATGGCCTCTGTATTCTCGGATACACTGGTGTTGTTTCCAGTTCGACTCCTGGTATTTGGAATATGGTCTTTTGCTCCTCTCATGGTAGCTCTATCTGTTAATTAGGATTTATAATTAGTAAATATGTATTTTATATTTCAAATTTGCGTGTAACCAAACCAAGGTAAGTATATAAATATATTGTTGTATTTGGTGCTTAAATTGCACTTAAATATATTTATACAAATATCGTTTCGAACATGTTTCAACTATACATTAAAAAGGTTTGACCACATATAATTGCCCTTAGTCTGTGAGTCGCACTGAAACACAGAACTAACTGCAACTATCTCAAACATGCTCCAGGACACGTCGATCGGTTTGAGCACATATTGTTGCTCTTAGTCTGTGAGTCGCACTGAAACACAGAACTAACTGCAACTGTCTCAAACATGTTCCAGGACACGTTCGATCGGTTTGAGCACATATTGTTGCTCTTAGTCTGTGAGTCGCACTGAAACACAGAACTAACTGCAACTGTCTCAAACATGTTTCACAACTCACAAGATCGGTTTGAGCACATATTGTTTTCCTTAGTCTATGAGTCGCACTGAAACACAGAACTAACTGCAACTGTCTCAAACATGTTTCCCAACACACACGATCAGTTTGAGCACATATTGTTGTTTTGCGCTTCGCAACGCATCGAATTTTGTTGTATACATACATACGTATAAACACAATATACAAAAAAAAAAGTCGACGACTGTTCGTACTGAAACGAACGATCCCGTTATCTCTGTGTGTCTCTCGCATTGTTCCAGCATATTCTTAGAAAAAAAACAGCATAAGGGAATTTACATGAGCGAATCATTTACTTTGCTTCACCGCTATGTATGTCTGAATTGTTCCAGCATATTCTTAGAAAAAAAAACACAGCATAAGGGAATTTATGTACATAAGCGAATCATTTACTTTGCTTCACCGCTATTTATGTCTGAATTTCGTCACTATTCTCAGCGTTTTTACTCGAAATCAATAATTTAAATACGTATGTACTTACTATATACATACCTTCTTTTATAATGTTGTGTCCGGTTTAATTTGGAGTAATAGGTAAGATTACGACTGCGCCAGTTACCAATATGTTTGTAACACTATTGGTGTAGATGTCCCTCTTTGCTGGTGTAATTTAAAACGCTCAGTTATTTATTACTTATTTTAGGCTTTACTTTTTATTACAACGTCTGCTTGATTGCCATCTTCACCCTCGACTGACTTCAATCGAACCACGCCAAACCACTTCGCGATTCTCTCTTCTCTTTTAGTCGTTTTTTATAACGGTGGTTTCCGATTGTGTCCAGTTGGATCGTGCCTCTTCGAGTTTGTCGTAGACTCAACATCTCTACGAATAGGGTAGAGAAGGTAACTCGCGCACTTGTGTTAAATTATGCGGGTTTGATTTTTATTGCACTGCCGCTCATTTCTTTTCTCCCTTTTCCGTTTGTTTTCCCTGCTTTGGTTTCCTTTGTTTTATAGGTTTTCCCCAAAGAGATGGTGGAGCCAGCTCTGGCCCAAAATCAAAACCATCTCGAAAGTATAAACAAGTTGGAGGAGCGGAGTGAAGTGGCGAGCACGCGTGTGTGTGCGGCTGTAATTTGGTCATGCCTCGTTGCCCCAACGAGCTGTTGCTTGGCATTTCAATTAATGGCACTTGCCACCCTGCCACCCTGGCACCACGCCCCTCACTCCAGCTCGGCGAGGGGTCATCTCTTTGCCGCTGCACTCCTAATGAAGCCATCTCCAGCTCCAGTTTCGGCCGGAGATCCATTCGCAACCCTGACTCCCTCAGCGGAAAAAAGGAAGGTTTTGCCACTTTTTGGTTGCTGTCAACAGGAGTCGAGATATGTTCATACACTAGGAGAAAAATTCTGACCATTTTGCATAACAACTAATTCTTTATCTAAAAATTTATTCGCAAAATATCCAATTGTCACTCGTTTAAGTTCAAAAACTGATTTGAAGAACTGATTTGGCTAATGAATGTTTAATTTTGTTTACTTCGAGAAAGAACATTTATTATTTAATCAACCTTAGGCACAAATAATTTGTTCCTATTTGATTTTCGTGTGTACGATTGCAACTTCACGGTGACACGTGACCGCAAGGACATTGTTTGGGTCTGAATATGCCGCACCGCACGTCTTAATAGATTTTTGATTTGTTTGTTCACCCTCAACCCGAAAACTCCCCTGTTGCGGATCCATATCCGAATCCAAATCCAATTGTGAGTCGCGCGTGCGTCTCTGATTGGAATAATGATTTGGCAAACGAAGCCAGATTTTTCAGATTTTCGTGGAGTAACTGGTTTGTCAATATAGAAAATCAATATGGAGTATTCCCCTTGTTGTTTTGCCACATCTCTGGCATTAAAGCAGGCGCGTAATTCAATAAAGAAATCACCGAAAAAGGGAGGAATTTCCTTCTGTTAGGTGAATTGAATGCTCAAGGCTCCGAGGACGAAGATTAAAAGCGAGACCTGAAAGTTTTTCTTTTACTTATTTCTGGCGATGAAAATCGAGGACGGGGCGGTATTGGGCAACATTTTACAAATTGTTTCAATTAAAAAGTTTACTGATTCTGCTTTTTCGCCTTTTACTTTATCGCCTTTTACAATCGGCTTGCGATTGACACGTGTCCCAACCGCCGTGCCACGCCCCCTCCTTTCCCGTTTCCTCGCGGTCTATCGTCTATCGAATGGAAGTAATCGCTTTCGGGGTGCTAATTGCGGCGACCTTGGCTGTGAGGTATTTATAAGCCCGCAACTTGATTGCATAATACTCGAACTGTCTGTCCGAATCGGTCGTCTTTGGGCAGTGGCCCAGTTGTAAGCTGGGAAAGCCAAAAGCTGGGCCAATTAATTAAATATAATCAGCCGGAAAAAGTTCAGACCCATCTGCAAATATATTTCACAGTCACTAATTAATTTAATTGATTTAAATGCTTCGGCTTGACCAATTGAAAGGGGGGTCAGCGGGTGATATCGGGTGCATTTGATCTGTTTGTTTGTTCAAAATTAAATTGACTTGTAATTAAAAGTTTCGCAATTGATTGAAATTCTCGTGTGAGCTTTGTCTTTGTTTGGGATGGATGATGAGACCCAACAATAAAACCGCCGAAGGGAAGTGGAATCGAAAAAATATACGGCTAATTACAAGCATTAATTAAAACTGCATTTTTTGTTGGTCAGTCGAGTTGTGGGGCACTTAGAACTGAAACAGCATTCGAACGGGGGAAAATTTCTCTTTATCCTGTGAGAGTATAAGAGCTGGGGAGGGTGCTCTTATACAACGTCTTAACTGACCTACGCCAGGATATTTTTCCTTAGTTTTATCATTACTTAATAGCCGAATATACTTTATTGGGAAATATATATTTAATAGGAGTCAAAAAGGATAACTTTAAATACATAGTATGTTCTTTATTAGTTTTGAGGTGATGGCAAATGTTTTATACGGAAATTTCAGCACTAAAAACTAGTAGATCATTGGATTTTAATTTAACTTAATATTTATATACTCCTTGCCTATGCATTATATTTTTGTTCAAAGCTGCACCCTTGATATTTAAAATGATTACAATTTTTCAGTAATAATCAAAGATAATATTTATTATATTATATTTATTGCAATATTTCAAAAGCGAAATATTCCACAAAATACTGCCCAAATGTGTATCGTTATACAAACAAAATAAATCAACCATAAATTTCAAAACGCAGCATGTTGCATTTAAAGCAAATATAATTTAGGCAAATGAGATGGGTACATATATTATATTTACGTGATGGAATAGAAATCCTCACTAGCTAATTACAAATTTTGTATGAAAATAGAAAAAAATTCACAAATAATTCATTGCAGATGCAATAACGAGCGATTGCCTGGCGATGCACTTGCAATAAACAAACAAAGAGTTTTAATAGCTCCACTCGAAAGTTCCTTGGCAATTTCGTGCTCCAATAACCCGGCTAAAGAGAGGACCTTTGGAGCCCAGTCTCTCTTTTCCTAGATGCTCTTAATCCTCGACCGAATAAGGCTGATAGCCGAATTGTGCCAGTCGTTCGTGTTCAGTCCCTTAACATTCAAGTGGCTCTCTCGTTTCTCTTCGCTGAGAGAACTCATCGCCGTGTGAGAAAACATGGTTCAATGTTAAGTACTTCTGTAAAGTATTTCTGTTAGCAGCTTGGAGAAGCGCCTCCAGCGGACGCAAAAATACTTCCAAATCATTCGTGTTTGGTTCTTGGGCCTTTAACGGACTAACAGAGACGACGAGGCTAACGTATACTTGTTCTACCATTTCCACTGGCTTTTTGGACTGCTAGTCAAATCCTGCGACTCGAAAGCGAAGCACGCGTTTCTTGATTTATGTGCGCGAGTTTGAACAGTTCAAGCCCAGATATTCAGTTAGACTTGTGTGCGGAGAAGCGGGCCTAATGAGTCCACAGGCCTGCGTGTTAATGGCGAATTAATGACGGGCGATTAAAATGCAATAGCCACATGCATAGCTGCCGTAATGAGCTGAACCGACCGACCGCTGAAAGTACAGTGAACCAGTGCCATAAATTAGAGTGTTGCCTACTTAGCGGCTTTTGGGCTTACGATCTGTTTGAAGTGTTTGGAGCCCGTTAAAACCTTTTACCCGCCATCCCGCCTTCGAAACAAAAATTGTGTAAAACTCAGATTAAAAACCAGAAAAGAAAAAAAGAAACATAAAGAGACCCCCGGAAAAAGGAAAGTAAAAGCGAAAACTCTCAGTGAAAAGCGAACCCAAAACAGGGCCAACACTTTCATTGCTCCCCAGGCAGAGCTTAGCCGAGAGTTGTGCCCGGCTCTAATTTGACGGAATCGTTAGTTGACCAGCCAAATACTCCCCCGTTCTGGCGGATCGCGTGCCGACTACAAGCGCAATAACAATAAACTTGCGGATAACAACCACAGATACAGCAGCAAAATGTCCCTGCCATCCAGAGCCAATTTCGGATTACTCAACTGGCTCATCGGCTGGCTGCTGCTGCTGTCGATGGTTTTGCTCAGAGGTGAGTCGCTCAGCTCCGCCGTCGTCGTCGTCGCTGGGCTTTTTAATTAAATAATCCAATTTATTTTCATTTAATTTCTAATTAAATTTAATTTGTTTGCGCCAAGCGCTGGCTGCTCTAATTGCCCCCCGCTGCCCGCCCCCCTCTGCCCCATCGACCCATTCGCGCCATTGTAAAACCCTCTGCTCGAAGGTTTCCCTTTTGTCGCCTAGGATTTCCCGTCTAATTTCCGGGAAACAAGCGGGTTTCTGGGGTGTGGAAGGGGGAATGTGAATTGAAATTCTTTAATTTTTGTGCTAAGAATTTTAATTCCGCAACAGAGTCGGAAAGTTTCCCCTTTTGTCTCTGCTCGCTCGGGCGCAAGTCAAAAGGTGAAAGCATTTAATGCCCATCTGTGTGTGACCCCCAAAAAACGGAGAATCCGCAAACGTTCTAGCAAAATGGAAGACTGCACAGAGAACAAACAATTGAAAGCAGTTTATTTTGAGACCAACACCAGCTTTTTGCTAAAAGTCAACTCACACTTTATTTTTGGCAAAAGTTTTGGGATTTCAGTGGGAAGTCTCAACCTATGATTCAGTTTAATTAAATCTCAAGAGGTAAAATGTCAGGAATTATTTTGTAGATTAAAATTAATTAAATTATAAACATTTTATTCATACTATTATGTAAAATGTTGTATTCATAGTTCGCATCTTTCTCCAATGTTGTATAACGCTTTTAAGGTCTAAACAACGGTTTTTGTAAAACAAACATTTAGTGTTGTAAATGTGCTTCAATCAAGGGCTTGATACTTAAAAGCAGATAGGTTTTTATTTGCTGTGCAGTCGTGACCCAGCCCTTTTGCGAGTGCTCCTAGTGTTAGTCCTAGTCCTATTTTCAGAGCCATCAAGGTTGGTCCAGGGACCATTTGAAGGGCCGGAGGATGAATGGCGGGCCACAGAGTGTGGCTGCCACAACCAACGTGTGAGTTGGCGAGGGCGGGCTGGGCAAACAGTTTTATAGAATAGTTTGCAGCACTGGGCCAGAAGTCTCACTTTCAATGCATCAAATGAGAAGCACGCACGCGGCTCTGACTGTGGCTGTGTGTTAGGGAGATAGAAAATGTGGGAAAAAATAAAAAAAAAAATAAAGCACAAAATAACAAATACTAACGAGCGGCAGACACTTGGAAAGTGCTGTTGAAGCTTGGTCAGGGCCAAAACGCTGCTGGCTGCAGTTGATGTTGCTGTTATTACCGCCGCTGCATTGCATGTGGCATGTTGCAGTTGACATACGAAAGTATTGCCATTGGGCTTAGCTTTTTGGGGTTTTCACTTTTTGGCTCTGGCTGTCTGTTTTCTGGTTTTCAGCTTTCAATTTTCTGCTTTCCGTTTTCCGACCGCCGTTTGTCGTTGCTAAAAACAGTAAATTGCATTTTTATACAATTTTCCATCATTTGCCTTGGCACTTGTTCGTCTCGGCTTTGTAATTTTCAAATGAAATACTTTCCGAATGCAATTCCCTTTTGCGCAAATTGTTTCCTTCGACTCGCTTTCCTTTGAGTTGGCCGCTCGTCTTGTTGCCGCCTTTCGCATTGGCCCTTTGGCATCTGTCTGGCAATTTCATTTGGCTAAAAGCTACTTGAAGTTGGTTAAGCGCAGACAAACAGAAATTACTCATCTTGGCAATTGAAAACCTGCTAAAAAGGGAAACAATCAAGGCGAATTTCTGGCCAAGGATTTACTTAGTTGATTCTTTGTTTGAGCGATGCATTTGGTAACAGGTAATACTTAAAACAAAACGTGTTATATATGCAAAAAAAAAAATGTCTTTCTTTTAGACTTTAATTTTTAGCAGATAAACGAACGAATAAAATTTTATTTTTCTATTTGTTTGAAACAAGATATTTATGATTTACAATTGACATCATTGACGTTAAAACTTTATGATAATTTATTGAATTCATTTAAGCTAAATATAAATGAACTGGAAAAAAACTTAAATGTTCGAGGGTAGTTTTGTTATTAAAAAAAAGGAATGTTCAGTGTTGTTTTTGAAACGGGCTATTTGTTTCTTTTACCCAAATTAATTTACATGGAAAAACTCGATAAATGCATGCGCATATTTTCATAATGAATTCATAAAACATTCGATCGTGTCTTTTCGCGGTCTCTTGTTATTTGGTTTGCTGGTTTATTAATAAATAAATTTTGCCCTTGCGGTTTTCCCATTTGTGTGTGTGGGTGTGTGTGTATGGGTGTGCGTGCGTGTCTCGCTATATGCAAAAATGCAGTTATTTGCACAGCTGTTTGCCATTTAAGGCAAACAAACGGTTTTCCCATTTTCCCCACATACCTCGCTTGTGCCAGCATTTTTTCCCAGACTCAGTTAAGAATTTTTGTAAATATTTTTCGTGATGCTAAAAAGGGAAAAATTATTGATGGAACCAAACACAAAAAAAGGGAGGAATAAAATAATAATAGCTGACGTGATTTTCCGATGAGTCCAGTTAATGCAAAAGTTATGCGATTGCGGGCCGCAAAAAATAATTGATTGCAGAGTGATTGGGCGTGCGGCAATCGTGGGCGAACATCATTCAGCGGTGTCAGACTGATGAATGAACCGACGCATTGGCCCAGACAAATGCCGAGCAGCACGCACTTCCCACATCCCCACTCCCAAATATTTATTCCCATCCTCTGAATCCGGCGATGGCGCCTCGAAGTATGCAAAGCACATACTCAAGGGTTCGAAGGATCTATTTGCCGACGGGTTCAGGTTATTCACACAAGCCTCGGGGAGCGAAACCCGCCGGCTGCCTCAAGGCCAACGCACATTATCAATGAGTCCTGGCATCGAACCGGCTTCATTCTTCATATTTTTTGGGTGCGCCAAAAAATAAACAGATTTTTTATTCCCCAAAGCTGCTTGAAGAAGCAAGCTTCTGTTGTTGATTCTAATGGCATATGGCTCGAAAGGCATTTGTGATGAATGTGTGGTTAAAAGTTCAACCGGAAGGGCTCCAGACTGTGTTTTTGCATGGGGAGTTCGGAGTTTGGAGAGGAGCTCAAAGAGTGTCATTAATCATTTAATTGACGACACGCTTCCCTTGAGGTTGGTCAAAGATTCTTGAAGGATAACTTATTGCTGTGGAGTCACAACTGTTAAAGTAAAACATATCTATTAAAAAGATTAACTTTTTGTGACTTAGTATATTAATTAGGATATTTTACTTAATATTAAAATATTATGTATTTAAATTTTTTCTTCTGGGAGGAAATGCTTTTGCAAAATCTAAAATTGGCTTATATAAACAGAGCCCTCATCTGATAAGTTTTGTTTAATACATAGCTTAGACTAATACATATGTTTTACTTGGTGTACACACTCATGAATGAAGGCTGTCTTACCTAACTTTTTACTACATCACCTTGAGTTGTTGTTAAGAAACTTTCTAGTAGTTAAGCAAAGACGCTAAGTACTGTCAAATAGTTTCTTAATTAAACTGCTGCTGCTCCAAAGTTTTTGCCAGCCAAAAGATGCAAAGTTCCGCAAGAGGTTGTCATCGAGAATTTATATTTTCTTACGCAAGTCCGCAGCTTTCCATATTTTTGGTCCCGTTTCTAGGCAGGTCAAACCGCCAATTTTATTTTTTTCCTACCGTTTCCCACGTAACACTTATGGATTTGACATTTATATGACAGCCAAGGTTTTTGTGTGCTATATGTGGGAGCAAGGTTGTTGCTGCTTTTGAGTTTCCTTAGGGGGTTCGTTTGTTGTTTTTAGGTTTTGCACAGGGAACAGAAATGAAATGAAAATTGTTTTTATTTTCCCTCAATGGGAGCGGTAGTGATGACTGAGTGTGTGTGTGCGTAAATACATGTGTGAGCATTATTTTTTGATTCACTTGGCACAGACGCTTTCTTGCCAAACTCAACTATTTTGGTCACGTAACTGTAGAGCGGAGCGGGGAAAAACTCAGCCAGCCGAGAAGGAAGGAAGGAAATTTATGCATTTGATTTCAACTAATTTTCAGAGTCCGGGCATGGCTGCTGCGAATTGTTTTGTTTATTGTTGGCCAAATTATATGCTGACATAAATTAGTTGAAGCTAGAGTGGCTCGGCCCCCTCTGTCTTAGCCATGTTTTTACGACCACCGAAACCCAGCCTTGAGCCAGCAGAAGAACGTGGCTATTAAAAAGCACTCCACAATCGAAAACTCTCAACCAGCTGTGCTTTCTCCCAGCTCTGGGGCCGATTTTAAAGCCTTTAGCCAAAGTGCCAACCCAAATTGAACCAAAACACTCGCAGACAGACAGACAAGTGTCGTAAAAAGGATACACTTGCTATAAGTTTCTGGTGGAGGCCGGGTTGCCGAAGTTGTCGATAAATCCACAGGAGCAACATAAACCAGTTGCGCGGCTCTAAAAATCGTGTAGGCCCCAATGATTTTGCCAAGTAGAATTCGTTTTATTAACACCGGGGACAACGTCACACGTGCCGGGGACAAAGTTTTCCCGCCGCGGTCGGAGTTTTGTTGTCGTTTCTGTTTTTCCCGGGGCGTGCCAGTAACCTACATGAGATGTTGCTTTGAGCCGCCGCCTTTCCTCGAGCCTGTCTGAGCCGCTTTTATTAAAAATTCCTTACACAATCGAGCGGGGGAATCGGATGAGGGGTAGTAGGAGTTTGATACTGAGCAGGAGATGCCGAAATAAGCATGTTTAAGGCAGCCAACTAGCAGGAAACAACCAACAATTGTCTATGTTGCCGTTGGTGTTGCTTCTGGTAAGGATGTTGCTGCTTCTGCTGCTGCTGCTGCTGCTGTTGTTGCTGCTGCTTGTGCCTCGTGCTCCTTCCGTTGTAGCACTTTTATTGCTATGTCATTCCAACATATTTCACACAGACACATCAGCATCAGCAGCAGCAACAAAAGACGACGACGGCGGCGTCGACATTTCGCAGATCTGAGCCGCATTGGTTGCTTATCCTTTCGCCGCTGTATTTTCGGTGATATCCTG